ATTTAATTATCTCACATATATATAATTATATAAATTTCTTGTGTGTGTGGTTCTGAGGACTAAACCTAGGGCTTTGTACATGCTGGGGAAGCACTTTATCACTGAGCTATACCCCCAAGTCTTAGACTGTTTCTTAATGTCTTCTATGATTTAGATTTATACCTGTTCACTCTTTCATATTACACTGGGCTTATTGACCCTGTCAGATTTAAAGATGGGCATGATTTGTCCCTTTCCATTTCCTTGTCATCCTTCATCTTCTAGGTGGACCTGGTCATTATCCTGACAAGGAGGAAACTCAGAGCAAGAGGAAAAGCTGGCTTCAGAGTCAGGCCCATGTCTGAGACCTGCCCTGCCAGTTGCTGGGAGCCAACTTGATTGACCCACCCTGAGCTGTATTTCTGCTTCTGTCAGGAAACATCCCTTGCAGCCAGTATGTGGATACCTGAGCACCCAGGATTAGGCTAACTGATACAGAAAGTTTCATATGCCTGGTTTAGCGTGCAGAGGGACTGTGGCCCCTTATGACCATTTGCATATTGTAGGAGATGCTGAGAGTGATAAGGCCCATCCAACCAATGGTGACAAAATCTTTGCTCACTGACCAGTCAATGAAGGCAAGAATGATGACCTCTTGTACCAAAGGAAATTCCTGCTGACCATTATCTACTTTGTATCATTTTCGTGAGCCAGTGGTAGGCTAAGTGGGCCCAACTTCACCCTACCACATGCTCCAATCTGTTCTACTCCTCAATTGTGGGTACCCTGTGACTACATTTTTATTGAATCAACTTTATGTAATCACTTGAGTGATCAACTGTATGTAATCACCTCCAGGGAGGTGAGACAGGGGAAAAATCAAAGGAAGACAAGGACAAGATATCAGCATTCAAAGTGTGGCACCACAGTTATCCTTCCAACCTAACCAGAAAAGATCCCCTAGTTCTCCAAGGAAGAACTTTCTGGAAATTCTCATAAGGAGGGCCATCCTATTGTATAAGAATCTGGGAAGGCTCTCATCACAATTGAAGAATTCAAGTGACATTCCTAGGTGATTACCCTCCTCCCATGGAGGTCTTTCAGGAATGCAAAATTCCTTCATCAACCAGAGAATGAATACAAAGCAAAGCAATATTCAAAAAATTCTGAAAACTTTTCAATATTGATGAAAACATTGATCATGAATTTGACTACTGTTGAATTCAATTTGTTAGCAGACTTTAAAGGAATTCCCCACCTATATCAATGAAAGATATTATGCTACAAATTAAAAAAAAAAGAAAGAAAAATAATCTGGGGAGAGTTTCATGGTGAGGATTCTAGAGCATAAAAAGTGAGTTGCAGGAGCCAGTGTCTCTAGTATCTCAGACATGGGTTTCCACCTCATGGATTCTAAGACACCTTGTAGCATCTTTGCTCCAAAAACAGTTTTCTTTTGTAGGCTATTTGGCTAAACTTGATGAATAGGCCATGGAAAAACCATGATCAAAGGGCTGAGCCCAAAGCTGGAATTGCCCCCAAAAGTAGCGGGGAACTCCTATAACCACCCTGGCTTGAGGCCAGTTGGAATGTCAAAGAAAGAAGCACCAAACATCAGGGTGATAATCCAAAGTATTTATTAGAGGGATTTATAAAGGGGCTGTAGCATGTTCCTGGAGAAATACAGTGATAAGAGAGGTCACTTTGGCATGTCCCCAACCCCAGGGGATCAGCATATGCAGTTTATCTTAGGTTCAAGGAAACTGGCTACAGGAGAGAGCTTGTTTCTGTGAGTTTGGTAACACTAATCTTTTGGTAAATACTAATCTTTTAGTATTTCAGGCAACAACCTAAACAATGTTGATCAGTATCTGGGAATCTTCAAAGCTTAGATTCAATACTTTCAGGGGAAAACAAAGCAGGGGTCTCAAAGTAGCCAGGGTATCCTGTGTCTAATCAGGATAAGGAAAAAATCTGGAGGTGGAGAGATAGGGGTAGAATCCTATATCATGGCTTAAGCAGGGGACATATATCCTGGTCAAAACCTGCAGAGCATACCTTGCTAGGCCAGGGAAGAGAGAGACTCTACATGTGTGAGGGACTGTGACCCCATGAGCAAGCCTGCTCCCAGTCATGTGTTGTCCCCACAGGATCTTCTCAGTCTTGCTCATACTGTCAACATCTTGAGCCCAGGAGAAGCCATCCCTTTAAAATAAAACTCTGGTCCAAGATCTGGCTACAGATCTTTTATTCTTTCTGTGCAAAAAAGAATATGCAAAGCAAGGACTATGTGAACCAGTGGGATTCATCACAGGTTAACTATCTAGCAGTTGGACAATTTCAAGTTTTCAAACCTCAGCAGGAATCCAACTATGGAACAGATAGCTAATCCTGAAAACAAGAGGCTCGACCACTGCATTTAAAGAATAGTCCATAGAGGTAGGGAAAAAACAGTATGAGAAATAATGTTCAAAATCAGAAATCTGCTTTCAATTCTAGCGAGTGTACTTCCTGTCAGAATCTGATCAAGGCAGTTACATATGGTACAGTATGAATATACACTGGGAAGGAGGTGGCAGCATGTTCCTCCTGTTACCTGCTGAGGGGCAGATCATGTACACTGTCCAGAGCAGACCAGGTAGGGCCATCCTTTCCCTGATCGCACCTCTGCTACATACATCCTTTCAAAACATTCCTGCTTTGTCCCTGGGATGACACCTAGAAGGCCCTCTGCACACTGTCAAGGGCTTCTCTGGGATGTGCTAATTTAGGCAGATGTGAGCCACAGGACTCCAGACTGATGTGGGGCACCCAGACCGTAACCTATTAACGTGAATGTTACTCAAGGAACACAAATATAATTAACTGAGCTTTGACAATGGCGTTTACCCTGGTTCCTAACGTTGTATTGTTTTCTTAGGGAGAAACAAAGGCGGCCCTACTCTCAGTGGAGCACCTACACTGGCAGAACGTGGAAGCCGGGAAGGATCCAGCCAAAGGATGCCCCGCCAACCCAGTGCCACAAGGCTGCCCAAGGGAGGCGGGCCTGGGAAGAGCACCTCTAGGAGCAGCACATAGGAAGAGAATAGACTACATTGCCAGCGTGCTAGAACCATTGTTCTCCCAGCAAAGGCTATGTGCCATCTCCTTCCACTAAGTCTTTCTAAAAAGCTGAGAATCAAAATCATTGTTCTCCCCACAAGAAAATATCAGAAATAAGTTTAAAATGATGTAAACATTTATACCTCCCACACAATTTATTTTAGTAGGTATCTTTTTTACTTTAAAGGCGTCTTTTATTCTACTTTATTAGAGCTACTTTATTTTTAAAATTATAGGATAGATAGTATATGACATGGTCTCCCAGAACTTCTTTACAATTCAGTCCTTATAATACATTATAAACTAAATATTTCCCTTTTTAGGTCTTACAGCTACAGTAGCACATGCCAGCACACAAAAACAAAATTTTTATTGAAATGAGCCACTAGACTAAAAGTTCTGTTCAAACACCAAAATTCTCCTATATTTTCTCCATGTGTCAGCCCTCTGGGTCAACAAAACACCTATAAACATTGATTTCATTTAAATTGATTTGAATATATAAATATTACAATCTCATGATAACTTTTATGGACAAGAGAACTGTGGAAATAGTAAAAATGCATATGTAATTCTTGAATTTCATTTGTACCTCTTTTGTCATCACACCCATTCTCCTTCATTTCAATGTGCATGGCTCCAGCTTTCATTGTTATCCCCAGTCCATGTCATCCTACACAAGAAACTTTTTTTCAATTTACATGTAAGAATTTTAACCATGAGGATCAGAGGGAAGTTTCAATAATAAAGTGTTAAGGGAAAAAAAAATCAAATGTTCTCTTATCACTTTCTGAACATATGAAAGCACATAGATTTAGAATGAGGTGAATGCTGGTCCCAGTTTTTCTATAGCCTAACTAACCAAGTAACTTAAACCAGTGACTTGACTTTCTTGATCCCAGCTTTTCAGTCCAAGAGAAGATATATGTATTGCCAGGTCTTTATTATAAACAGCTCAACATGTTTCCCTTGAAGTGCAAGAGGTGGAATTCCCTATTAGAACTGTGCACAATACTAGGGAAGAGGTGTGAGTGTATGAACGTAGAAGGAGAGCACTATCTCCAACTGGCCACACAACATTGAGGTTATAATGATGTGTTGTGACTTAATGAGTCATGCATCCTATGGGGAATTCAATAATATCCCTTTCCCCTCAAATTGCCTTGATCTTTCTCATTTGACTCAGTTTTAGGGATTTTGTGGACATTTCCTACCCTCAGACCTCAGATTTTAAGCCCTCCATTTCTAAACTCTTATGCTTTATTCAGTCTCATCAACAGAGAAGGCCCCAAATTAAAAATTTTTTAAAAAATGGGGAAAATCCAATTCAGTTTCCTTAGGAATTTATAAATTTTATGCTTTGAAACTGGATTTTGTGTGTGTGTGTGTGTGTGTGTTTATTAAGGATTGATCTCAGGGGTGCCTAATGACTGATCCACATCCCCAGTCCTTTTTTTTTTTTTTTTTAACATTTTATTTTTTAGGTATAGATGAACAAAACACAATGCCTTTATTTTTATGTGGTGCTGAGGATCGAACCCAGGTCCCACCCATGCTAAGCGAGCGCTCTACCACTGAGCCACAATCCCAGCCCCACATCCCAAATCCTTTTATTTTTTTATTTTGAGATAGTGTCTAAGTTGCATAGAGCCTTGCTAAGTTACTGAATTGAATTTGTGAATCCTGCCTTGGCCTCCCAAGCTGCTGGGATTACAAGCATGTATCACCACACCCAGTTGAAACTAGATTTGAAATACTTCCATCAGGTCAAATCACTTCGGCAGTGGTTCCTTAACATTACAGAAATATAATCCCCAAGTCCCTCTTTAGTACAGTAGACTATGGAGCCTGGACTGGCCTTCTGTGTGGTTCTAAAATCCTATCCACTTCTATGGACAGAGTTATGCAGCACACAGAAATTTAGGGTTTATACTGAAACTTTAATTGTAAACAATGTGAAGGCACCTATGCTGAGGGGTGGCAGAAGAGTTGACAAGGCATGCATGCCAGTCTCATCTTTCCACTCAATATTCTTCCCCTTCTTCAGCCTCTGCTTCCACAGAATCCACGCCCACCTCTTCATAATCCTTCTCCAGCGCTGCCAGGTCCTCTCGGGCCTCTGAGAATTCCCCTTCCTCCATGCCTTCGCCCACATACCAGTGCACAAAGGCCCGCTTGGCATACATGAGGTCGAACTTATGGTCCAGGCGGGCCCAGGCCTCAGCAATGGCAGTGGTGTTGCTCAGCATGCACAAAGCCCGCTGCACCTTGGCCAGGTCTCCTCCAGGCACCACTGTGGGGGGCTGGTAGTTAATGCCCACCTGCCAGGGAAGAAAGCATTCCATGAAACTTATATCAAACCCCGAAATGGTGGCTACTTTTCCTCATATAAAGATACACTGCAGGAGCCCTCTGATGACCCTCTGAGAAGCTCAGTTGACTCTGCAAACAGGCACTGAGCCCTTCTTTGTATCACACATGGTGCTGGGTCAACAGGGTAATGGTTCCAGAAAAGGAAAAAGCAGGGAAAAATAAGCCTTGGAGTTAGTCATCCTTGGCTCAGTCTCAAGTGCCTGAAGGGCTGGGTCTAAGCAACTATGATAACTATGGTACTAAAGGAAAGGACTCCATCTTCTCTCTGAAAAGATCCTCAGCACCACATACCAACAAAGATGTTGTGTCCGCCGAGAACTAAAAAATAAATATTAAAAAAATTCTCTTGGGCTGGGGATGTGGCTCAAGCGGTAGCGCGCTCGCCTGGCATGCGTGCGGCCCGGGTTCGATCCTCAGCACCACATACCAACAAAGATGTTCGATCCTCAGCACCACATACCAACAAAGATGTTGTGTCCGCCGAGAACTAAAAAATAAATATTAAAAATTCTCTCTCTCTCTCACTCTCTCTCCTCTCTCACTCTCTCTTTAAAAAAAAAATTCTCTCTATCTCTCTCTCTCACTCTCTCTTAAAAAAAAAAAAAAAAAAAAAAAAAAAAACACTACCTTGTGTTCTTTGTGGATTTTCTCCATAACAAGATGGTGAATTTCTATAACCAAAACATTTTCCACCCAGATAAATCCTAAGAACTGTATATAACTGAAAGGCTCAAGGAATATCCCCCACTTCTGACCCAGCAACCAAACCCTTGTGATATATACGAAGGTAGCAGATCAAAGGTCATGTGAATACTACTACCACAGTGGCAGAAGGTGGCCTATCTGTGTCTTAATTGGGGAGAGGGAGTGACATGCTCAAGGAGATACCAAAGGGGAAGCATTCTATGTTTCAGAATCAGGGAGTAACTTGACCACAAGTTTTGGCAGAATTGTGTAGTAACAACTAGAGCAGGGATGAACCAAACTTGTTCTGTAAAGAGTGATAAAGTAAAAATTCCACATTTCACAATTCTTTGTCCAAACTGCTCAATTGTGCTGATATTGCAAAACCATAAACAATTTGTAAGTGAACAAGTGTGACTAGTCAGACTAACCCTTATTTATAAAATTTGGCAGCCAGTTTAACAACTGTGTAAACCCCTGATCTAGAGAAGAAAACTCAGAGCAAAAAATACTAGATAAGGACCTACTGTATGGGCTGTGGCTGTGGCTTAGTGGTAGAGTGCTTGCCTAGCATGCGTGAGGCACTGGGTTCAATCCTCAGCACCACATAAAAATGAACAAATAAAATAAAGGCATCCTGTCCATATACAACTACAAAAAATAAAATAAAATAAAGAATCTAAAGGGATTGTGACTCAGTGGTAGAGCACATGCCTGGCATGTGTGAGGCACTGGGTTCGATTCTCAGCACTGCATATAAATAAACAAAATAAAGGTCCATTGACAATTAAAAATATTTTTAAAATAACCTACTGCAGTAGAGCCACCAGAAGCAATAAAGGGCTAGCTAACCCAGGGAACATAGCATGAAAACCAAAGACAAGAGCTCAATGGTAAAGTGCTCTCCTAGTATACACAACTTGCTGGGCTTGATGCCTGAGGAGGGAAGAAAAGAAGGAAGAAAGAAAGAAAAAGAAAGCCAAACAAAATCTAGCCAAGCCAAGCCAAGTCCAAGAACTAGTTTTAAGAATCAACAGGATTTAGGAAACTACTATTAGAAAAACTGAGTAGATAGATAGCAGTTTCTATCTTGTACCAGTGGAGAAGTGACTCAAGTTTTGTGTTTGATAAAACTCACACCAGAATTTCTAAGCTAAAAGAAAAAATACATATTGCCATTTTCAGCACAAAAAGATTCATGGAGGTTTTTCCTTAAATTGGATAATCCATAGGATATTGAAACTGAAATTAGTTTCTACATACCTATACAATAAAGTGAGATTAATTAACAATAGTCTGTTTTAGTAACACCCAAATTTGAAATAGTTAAAAAGACACACATTAATCACCAATGTACCTACACTAATCCTACCATCAGAATGGGGCACAAAAGTTCTTCAGAAAATACTATATTCTATTAAAAAGTATAAATATAAGTGCACCAGGTGTGGTAATTCCAGTAACATGGAAATTGAGTGGGAGGATCCCAAATTCAAGGCCAGCCTCAGCAACATAGCCAGACCATTTCAAAATAAAAAATATGGGACTGAGGACATAGAGCTCAGTTGGTACATTGCTTGCCTAGCATGCGTAAGGCCCTGAGTTCAATCCCAAGCACCACCAAAAAGATAATAATAAGTAATAGCCTCGGGATGTGGCTCAAGCGGTAGTACGTTCGCCTGGCATGCGTGCAGCCCAGGTTCCATCCTCAGCACCACATACAAACAAAGATGTTGTGTCCACTGAAATCTAAAGAAAATAAATATTAAAAAAATTTTTTTAAAAAGATAATAATAAGTAAATAAATAAATAAAGTTGAGGGGCTGGAGATGTGGCTCAGTGGTAGCATGCTCGCCTAGCATGCATGAGGCACTGGGTTCAATTCTCAGCACCATATAAAAATAAAATAGAGATATTCTTTAAAAATAAATAAATAATAAATTTTTTTTTTGAAAAGTGGGAAAAACACTCATGGGTTTAACAAAAATTTTTAAAACTGCTCATTACAAATACATAGTGTGATTCAGAAAGAAAATTCAAGAGATATCAATGAATAAATTATTCTGATTCACTAATTTATAACCAAGAGCCTAGCCCAAGTAAAAAAGCACTGACTCCCAAAAGGATTTGTGTTCTCAGGAGGTCATGAAAATTCAGGCCTGCTGTTTGCTGACAAGCATGATGACTAGACAGCACCCAGTCCTACCTTAAACCCAGTGGGGCACCAATCCACAAACTGGATAGTGCGCTTGGTCTTGATGGTGGCGATGGCCGCATTGACATCTTTTGGGACCACGTCCCCCCTGTACAACATGCAGCAGGCCATGTACTTGCCATGGCGAGGGTCACATTTCACCATCTGGTTGGCCGGCTCAAAGCAGGCATTGGTGATCTCGGCCACCGAAAGCTGCTCATGATAGGCTTTCTCCGCCGAGATGACTGGGGCATAAGTGGCCAGGGGGAAGTGGATGCGGGGGTATGGCACCAGGTTGGTCTGGAATTCCGTCAGATCCACGTTCAGGGCCCCATCGAACCGCAGGGAGGCCGTGATGGAGGACACGATCTGCCCAATGAGACGATTGAGGTTGGTGTACGTGGGCCGCTCGATGTCCAGGTTGCGCCGACAGATGTCATAGATGGCTTCGTTGTCCACCATGAAGGCACAGTCGGAGTGCTCGAGGGTCGTGTGGGTGGTCAGGATGGAGTTGTAGGGCTCTACCACGGCTGTGGAAACCTGCGGAGCTGGGTAGATGGCAAATTCCAGCTTGGACTTCTTGCCATAGTCCACTGACAGCCGCTCCATGAGCAGAGAAGCAAACCCGGAGCCCGTGCCGCCCCCGAAGCTGTGGAAGATGAGGAAGCCCTGCAGTCCTGTGCACAGATCCGCCTGCAAGAAACCACACAATGTGAGCCAAAGGCTGTGGAAGACACACCACCAAACTCCAACAGGCCAGGCTCACTTCTCTGTGCTCTCACAAGTTCACATGGACTCAAATAAAGAGCCTAACCAGCAGGCATTACCCTCAGAAGCCAAAGCAGACAAGAGACGGTTATCAATGCATCTCAGCAGACACCATACAAGAAGACTCTGCAGACTTAGTCAGATCCCAGAACCTGACCTAAGACCTGCCCAGACGACCTCCCCTTCACAATCCAAGGCCCACCGTCCCCCTCACCCTGGAACCTCTTCAAGAAGCCTCCTTGGTGCTCTTCTTACCAGTTTGCGGATCCGGTCCAGGACCAGGTCTACAATCTCCTTGCCAATGGTGTAATGGCCTCTGGCATAATTATTGGCGGCATCTTCCTTCCCAGTGATCAGCTGTTCCGGGTGGAAGAGCTGCCTGTAGGTCCCTGTGCGCACTTCATCTACAAAAAAAAAAAAAAAAAAACATGTTCAGGGAGTCTCTCTGGCCTGCTGTACTCACTGAAGTGGACCCAGCTGCAGGAGGGCTGAATCTACAAACACACACTGGAAAAATCTCTGTGTGATACACAAACCACAAATGCCACTTATGGCTGTAGTAAGGTAGAGTCAACAGTCGTACAAATGCCAGCAGGATCAGTTCCCACTGAGGGAAAAATGCTCACATGCCCATATGGGTGATTCTCCAGGTACATCTTTCTTTCTTACCCCTAGCTACATCAAAGGGAACAATTAAAAATTCACTCATAAACCCGCAGTCATCAGGTCAGCGTGACTTCAGCGGGGCCATGCCATCAGGGAATCGCATATGGCCTGGGTCACACAGGTATTCTGTTATGTCCCAGGGGAACCAATGAAAGGTGCTCAGTTTTCCACCTCTTATGGGAAACTACCTAGGACTTCCAATCTAGAGGAACCCAATGAATGTTCTACACTTAAGTTTCCAGTCTCCGGGCAGCTCAAGACTGTATATGCCAGCATGTCAGTGTGGGTGGCAATGAAGGAGGGAACCAAGGCTGTACACCTTGCACTGGGTGTGCATGGGAGCCACCTGACCAGCAGAGACAGCCAGGAGGGAATCTCTCTGCAGCCCAGCTTACTGCTGGCTACCAGCTTTTCTCTGCAGGGCAGGTTTCCTGAGATAGGTGCCTGAGTCCCACAGTCAAGATCCTTCAGTCCACACCAGTGAGTTCCTCACCCAGCAATGTTGGGAGCATAGGCTTCAACATCCCTCCTTTCTGCACAGGGATTCAAGGAGTCCACATGGGACTTTACCAAGGCTCTCCCACCCTCCCAGGAAGGCCTCCCTGCGGGCATGAGCACCTACCAACCACGGTGGGCTCCAGGTCCACAAACACCGCTCTGGGCACGTGCTTGCCAGCCCCGGTTTCGCTGAAGAACGTGTTGAACGAGTCATCCCCGCCGCCAATGGTTTTGTCACTTGGCATCTGACCATCGGGCTGAATTCCATGTTCAAGGCAGTACAGTTCCCAGCAGGCATTGCCGATCTGGACACCTGCCTGCCCCACGTGGATAGAGATACACTCGCGCTGGGAACCAGAACATAAACATAAAACCCACTCCTCTTCAAGGGAAATGAAACCATATAGCATGCAAAGCATTACAAGTTAGTATTTTAACAGTGTCAGTGACTGGCACTTTCATAAACTTCACTTTCAACCCCTGTTCTCTATGCTACCTGAATTGCTCTATGCCACTCTAGCTGTTAAGTGGCACAGTCAGCCACAGGACTTAAAACCTCTTCGCAAAATCAGGATTCTTTTTAAAGCCTGCAAGCCATGTAACATTAATAATGAACTCCTTATTGTGGCTTATAATGGGAACTGAGGAAGATAGAGCAGTTTGTGCACTGGGCAACAGATAATGTAATGAAGAGTTAAGCAAGGAAAGATAGACTAGGTTCCAGATTACCATGGCCCAAGCCCAGGTATTCACTCTGTGTCTTCCATCTGCTCAGACAGATTGCTGAGGGCAAAATATCATTCTCTATCCTACTTACTCCTCCTGCTACTTCATAGATAAGTAGTATTACCTGTCTCTGATACTTTAGAGGACAGAGGCTAAGACCATGTGTGTGTGTGTGGTACTGGGAATTGAACCCTGTGGTGCGCTCTCACTGAGCTACTTTACATTTTTTATTTTAGACAGGATCTCAATAAGTTGTCCTGCCTGGACTCAAACTTGCCATCCTCCTGCTTCAGCCTCCTCAGTAACCAGAATAATAGGTATGTGCCACTGTGCTTGACTGCTGAGACATCTTAACTCTTGCCCTATGGCTTCTGGTTGGTTTTCCCAGTAGCCAGCAGTGGCAGGAACTTGAGATTATAGCAATTGTAGTCAGGATGCTCCCTCCATGCCAGACTACGATGGACTGCCTGAGTCCCTTTATCCAGGCCACAACTTACTTTTAAAAGTCAGTACTCTTCAAAAAGATACCCTCTCAACTTCTAGTAATCATCCCCTCCCCTTCTCTCCCCACCCCTTTAAGTCTAGGAGTATAATGATTCCTAGATATCACAAGTGCTCTTATACCTCAATGTCTTTTTTTTTTTTGGTGGCAGGGCGTAGTAGGAATTGAACTTAGGGGCAACTCAACCACTGGGCCACATCCCCAGCCCCACTTTGTATTTTATTTAGAGAATCCTCACTGAGTTCCTTAGAACCTCGCTTTTGCTGAAGCTGGCTTTGAACTCATGGTCCTCCTGCCTAAGCCTCCCAAGTAAACTGTCTTTTGATGTCTTCTTTCTTTTCTTTTCTTCTTCTTCTTCTTCTTTTTTTTTTTTTTTTTTTGTTGTGGTGGTGGTGGTGGTGGTGCTGGGGATTAGAACCCAGGGCCTTTTGCATATAAGGCAAGCACTCCACCATCTCGCTATATCCGCAGCCCTCTTGATTGTTTCTTTTTTTTTTTTTTTAATATTTATTTATTTTTAGTTTTTGGTGGACACAACATCTTTGTTTGTATGTGGTGCTGAGGATCGAACCCAGGCCGCACGCATGCCAGGCGAGCGCGCTACCGCTTGAGCCACATCCCCAGCCCTTGATTGTTTCTTTACCATCAAAAAAAAAAAAAAAACCAGCTATCCATAACTTTATCAATTGTACTCTTTTAAAGTAATCTCAAAAAACAAAAATACCTATCTTCAATGAAGCATCTATTTCCAGAGGGGAGGTAACTGCACACTCACTAGCTACTTATTCAACTGTAAATACATTGCCTTCGCAAATACATAGAGGAGATCAAATAAAATTGAGGGACTATACCCATTAGATATGCTATTTCCTTTTATAGGAGCACCAAATCTCAGACTCTGTAGTGCATAAAAAAAAATCCACATGGACACAGTGGCGCATGCCTGTAATCCCAGTGACTCAGGAGGCTGAAACAGGAAGATCATGAGTTCCAAGCCAGCCTCAGCAAAAGCAAGGCACTAAGCAATTCAGTGAGACCTGGTCTCTGAATAAAATACAAAATAGGGCTTAATGGTCAAGTTATTCTGAGTTCAATCCCTGGTGCCCTCTCCACCCACCCCCCTAAACAAAATTAACATGATGCAACAAACCCCCATCATCCCTAATGGATCATTCAGTTCCAGAAGGAACTTCTCTAATGCCAAATGTTAAAGGATATTTTGTAGGAGGCTACGCATTTGAACTGGGCACCTGCAGTGGGCTCAAAAGACCAACCCAATTCAGCGTTCCATCAGAGTAAATAAGCCTTAGCTGGTTGCAGAAGTCTCTGGAATCAGCTGACTGAGTCACCTGTAAACAAGTGAGCATTTAAACTGCAACCATTTGACTATTTGATTGACTAGGCTATTGCCAGTGAAGTTGGTCTCTAGGTTTCACTTCAGTTTCTCAATGAATGCTCTCAGATCATGTTATCAGATGGAGTTCTCAGAACCTGCTCTGCTTCTGGGAGATGTACAGGTGATGTTTCCTTACCTCAAATAAACTCTACATAATTTAACCACAGCAAGAAATTTCCCTCTTAATGCAAGAAACTTGCTCTTCTGAGGAATTGCTCAGCACTCTGGGAAAATCCTTTTGAAGCCATCCAACAATACAGGATTTTTCATTACTGAAATCCAGACACTCTGTATTTCACAGGATGGCATCACTGGCATTCTGCTAACCCTGAATCAGTAAGATCTGACTTGGCAAATCTGCCATTACTTTTGTTTTTCTTGTCTTTCTTTTTCTTTTGTTGTTGTTGTTGTTGTGTTGGGATGAACCCCAGTGCTTCCCATATGCAAGCATGTCCTATTCCACTAAGCTACATTCCCAGCCCTCTTAATTTCCTCATTTCCAAAAAAGAAAGAAAAAGAAAAGAAAAAAGAAAAAAGAGCCAAATCCTAGCAACCAGGTAAATCCACCCTTGCTTTCAAGAGAACTCCCATGTTAATTCAGCATTGCCAACCTCACACTGATCTTCCAACTTTACATTTCTTTGATCAAACTTTACATTTCTTTGGTCTCCTCTGAAAATAAATTACTTGTGTGCCGGGGATGCAGATCAGTGGTAGAGTGCTTGCCTAAGGTGTATGAGGTCCTGGGTTCAATCTCAGGCACTGCAGGAAAAAATTATTGGGAATTTCATCCAACCTTTCAAACCCCAGGCCAATAATCTGGCTATATTCTTTGTAGCTGACCATGTTTTATACTTATGCAGGTATATCACTTCCTGCCACCAAATCTGCAACCGCCCTCCCTTTGCTTTATAATAAAGATGTGCCTTCTCCAATCAATGCTTCTTTGTTTTTGCTGATCTCTTTTCCCAAAACAGTCCTCAGTGGAGCTCCCAAGTACCTAGTGGGTGCAGAAAGGGTGCATAAAACTGCTGACACCTTAGCAGTGATCAAGGCAAAGGCACCACCCCCATAAACTTAGAGGAAAAAAAATCAGTTTCATTGAAAAATTTCCTTAAAGAAGTGACTTAAAAACTACTAATTTTATTACATTTCTATTCTTTTTTAAAAAATTTTTATTAGTTGCTCAAAACATTACAACATTTCTATTCTTAAGTAGTATGACAGACTATTATATAAACCCCATGACCTCGTACTAAATACAGTATGACTTGAGTGAATTGCAAGTTTCAGTGCCAATTTTTTTTTATAGGATACCATTGTGTGTGTGTGTGTGTGAAATTTGAGCAGGGACCTGTCTATGTTGCTCAAGCTGGTCTCAAACTCCTGGGCTCAAGTGATCCTCCTGTCTCAGCCTCCAGAGTAGATTGGATTTTAGGCATCCTTAGATGCCTTTTTAAAATTTGAGGGGGGGAGACCTAACAAACATTTGCTACTCAGGCTTAAATAGTTATTATTTATAATAACATGCGTTTCTTTTAAGTAAATATATAAATAGTTTTAAAACTTCTCTTGTTTTAATTTCTAATATGACAAACAGCAGCAGCTATTAACCACAGTGAAGCTCTTTGGGATCCCCATAATTTTTAGTTTTGTAGGGAAGATCCCAGACCAGAAAGCTGTGAAACCGTGAAACCGCACTGTCTGTACGACCTCACTGGTATTTTTTGTTCCTTTAGAGACTGCCTAACATCTCTGTTCTGCCAAGTCAAGCCATGAGTGTTTTCTAAAACAAAAACTTCTAAACGTGGGTGCCACCCTGGTTCTTATACAGCTCAACTCTGGGAACCGAATGTATTTGCCCCCACGCTTTCTACACTCCCTACTACACATCTCTCTCCATCTGGGTCTCTCTTGCCTTCGGGCCGAAGAACACTCCTCCTGGCTCCTCTCCCAGCTCAGCCCCGCACCCTAGGCACTGGTAGGTCCCTCTGCCTGGTCGCCTGGCTGCGTAGTGGACTTTGAATGCCCTCCCCTCCCCCCGCGCGCCTAGTCGGCAGCGCCCTCCGTCGCAGGATCCTACCATGTTGATCTCCCTCCGCGACGCCTCTTTAGTATACAGCCAACTTTATCTATCGAAATGCGTGCAACGACCCGGCGGTGCGCGCTGCAGTGTATTAACTCCCAATGCTCAGTTGGTCATTGGTCCAGAGCTCCACAGGGCGGGCCGAGGCCCCAGATTTCATTTTGATTGGTCATTTTACTCGACTCAGAGTGATGGAGCTTTCTGGTTGGATAGGGTTTCGGCGGGAAGGTTGTAGAGTCTCTGGTGGCTGCAGTGCGCGTGGGGCTTCAAGAGTCCTCAGAATCTTGGATTGGAGCAGCTTTAACACCGTTTGTTGGGGAGCAGGACATTATCGTGCAAGTTAAGGCCTTCGCTTATGAATCCTAAATGGGAATTACGTTTTGTCTCCGACATCCTAGAGCCCCAGGTGTGCTTGCCTCCCTGTTCTTGAATATATTCCGTTTTCTGAACATGATGACCTCCAAGGGGCCTTCCTGCCATCTGTGAAAATTAATACAACCCCCTCTTCCGTGCTTTCTCAGGTGCAGAAAAGTCATTTTCTTTGAGCATATGGGAACTGGGCAATTTTGGGGAACTGAACCCTTCTTTAGTGAGAGAAGAGGTGGATTTCTAGGCACTAGGGAGAGGGAGGGCACAC